ATTTAATTGAATGGATTCCTTTTAATAAATTAGTTAATTTTAAAAAGAGTGGTAATAAATTTTTAGCAACATGGCTAGATGGTATACGAATAATTTCTGAAAATAAGAATACGTGGAATAATAGATACACACAATCACGTACATCACCATGCATAATGAATCTTAAAATATTACATAGTTCTCAAAATTCAATGGATCTATTAGAAGAGGTAAGATATAGAATGAAATCTATATTTAATTATTATGTATATCTTATTATTTATATAATTATAAATTATAAATTATTTTTATCCATACGAAAAAGTTAAAGAGCTATATAAAAGATAGCGAGCTTAAATTATATGGGCTAACTCAAAACACAGCTACTAATGAGTATATGTTGGTATTTGATAAATTTCATTCAAAAAGAAGTTATGCGAAAGGAAAATGTGCATGTTGCAATCTATATAATACATCACCGGCTTGGTGTCAACAATGTGACCCTCAGAGAACAGCTCAAGGATGGACAAGTGGAAATAAATACGTTGATGATTGCATTAAAGAACTTCAACTTGAAACCACTGAATATGAGAATGTGATTGAATGGATTCCTTTTAACAAATTAGATAATATTCAAGAAAATAATGATGAATTTTCAGCAACTTGGCTAGATGGCGTACGAAAAAATCCTTTAAATGAGGATAAAAGCCGGCATTTATGGAGTGTTAACTGGTATTTAGACGGGGGTGAATACACACATTCACGTACATCACCATGTGAAATTAACCTTAAAATATTACATAATTCTCAAAATTCAATGGATATGTTAAAAGAGGTAAGATATAGGGTGAAATCTATATTTTATTATGTATATCTTAATATTTATATAATTACAAATTATAAAATATATTTACCCATTTAAAAAAGTTTAAAAACCATATAGAAGATAGCGAGCTTAAAGTATATGGACTAACTCAAAACACAGCAACCAATGAGTATATGTTTGTATTTGATAAATTTCATTCCGAAAGAGATAGACGGTATGGAAACTGTGTACATTGTAGTCGATATAACACATCACTAGCCTGGTGCCAAGCATGTGACCCTCATAGAATAACTCAAGGATGGACAAGCGGAAATAAAGACGTTGATGATTGCATTAAAGAAATTCAACTTGAGGCCACAAAATATGAGAATGTGATTGAGTGGATTCCTTTTAATAAATTAAATAATATTCAAAAAAATGGTGATGAATTTTTAGCAAACTGGCTAGATGGCATACGAATAAACCCTGAAAATAAGACTGTATTGGTTACTAGATTCACACAATCACGTACATCACCATGCATAATGAACCTTAAAATATTGCATAATTCTCAAAGTTCAACCGACCTGTTAGAAGAGGTGAGATATAATATAAAATCTATATTTTATTATTATGTGTGTTTTAATATTTATATAATTATAAATTATAAATTAAATTTTCACATTTAAAAAAGTTTAAACACCATATAAAGGATAGCGAGCTTAAAGTATATGGACTAACTCAAAACACAGCTACTAATGATTATATGTTGGTATTTGATAAATTTCATTCCAAAAGAGATAGACGGTATGGAAACTGTGCACATTGTTATCAATATAACACATCACCAGCTTGGTGCCAAACATGTGACTCAAGCGGAAATAAAGATATTGATGATTGCTTTAAAGGACTTCGACTTGAGGTCGTGATGGAGTGGATCCCTTTTAATAAATTAAATAATATTCAAAGGTTCGGTGATGAATTTTTAGCAAACTGGCTAGATGGAATACGATCAAAATCACGTACATCATGTGTAATTAACCTTAAAATATTGCATAATTCTCAAAGTTCAAAAGGCCTGTTGAAAGAGGTAAGATATAGAATAAAATATATATTTATTTATTATTTTATATATTTTTTTTTAATTCGAAGTGCTTATAAATTATATAAATTATATTTACCCATTTAAAAGTTTAAGAACTATATAAAAGACAACAAGCTTGAAGTATATGGACTAACTCAAAACACAGCTACCAATGAGTATATGTTGGTATTTGATAAATTTTATTCAAAAAGAAATTATGAGAATGGAAATTGTGCACGTTGTAATCGATATAACACGTCACCAGCTTGGTGTCAGACGTGTGACTCTCACAGAATAATTCAAGGATGGACCAGTGGAAATAAAATTATTGATTATTACCTTAAAGAATTTCAACTTGAGACCACTAAATATGAGAATGTAATTGAATGGATTCTAACAAATTAGATAACATTCAAGAAAATAATGATGAATTTTTAGCAACTTGGCAAGATGGCATACGAATAATTTCTTTAAATCAGGATTTATACTGGTATAACGACAGGGATAAATACACACAATCACGTACATCACCATGTGTAATTAACCTTAAAATATTACATAGTTCTCAAAATTTAATAGACCTGTTAGAAGAGGTAAGGTATAGAATAAAATCTGGTTTATTTTTTTATTATTATGTGCATCTTTATTTACTTATAAATTATAAACTATATTTACCCCTTTAAAAAGTTTAAGAGCTATATAAAAAATAACAAGCTTAAAGTATATGGGTTAACTCAACATACAGCTACCAATGAGTATATGTTGGTATTTGATAAATTTCACTCCAAAAGAAGTTATAAGAATGGAAACTGTGTACGTTGTAATCTATATAACACTTCTAAAGCTTGGTGCCAAGCGTGTGACCCTCAGAGAATAACTCAAGAATGGACAAGTGGAAATAATGACATTGATGATTGCATTAAAAAATTTCAATTTGAGGCCACAGAATATGAGAGTGTAATTGAGTGGATTCTTTTTAATAGGTTAGATAATATTCAAAAGAGAGGTGATGAATTTTTAGCAATCTGGCTAGATGGTATACGAACAATTTCTGAAAATAAGAATATATGGGATAATAAATACACACAATCACGTACATCACCATGTGTAATTAACCTTAAATTATTATATTGTTCGCAAAATTCAATAGACTTGTTAGAAGAGGTAAAGTATAGAATAAAAAATCTGTTATATTTTTATTATTATTATGTATATCTTTATTTACTTATAAATTATAAACTATATTTACCCATTTAAAAGTTTAAGAGTTATATAAAAGATACCGAATTTAAAGTATATGGACTAACTCAAAATACGGCTAATGAGTGTATGTTGGTATACGATAAATTTCATTCAAAAAGAAGTCGTGATAATGGAACATGTGAACGTTGTAATCGATATTACACATTACCAGCTTGGTGCCAGGCGTGTGAGCTTCAGAGAATAATTCAAGGATGGACTAGTGGAAATAAAATTATTGATGATTACATTAAATCATTTCAACTTGAATCTACAGAATACGATAATATGATTGAGTGGATTCCCTTTGACAGATTATATAAAATTCAAAAAAAAACTAAATCTGGTTATGTATTTCAAGCAACCTGGTTAGATGGTAAACAATCAATCTCAGGTCGCTCACAGTCGTATAAATCATCATATTTAGTCGAGCTTAAGGTCTTTCCGGATCCGATTTCATTGAATTTTTTGAAAGAAGTAAGCAAAAATATTATCGGGAATGATACTGAAATCGGATGATGATGAAATTTTGACTTATTTTAATATGATATAAAAAAAATTTGGGGCGTTTTTTTTAGGCATTTTTTTATTGGTTAGGTTAGGGTTTAGGATTGGTGTTTATAATAAAATGGTATATGTGAATTTTAGCAGGGCTTTTATCTTTAAATCGAGACCCTGAATTTCACCAACATCCGATTTCAGCGCGACAAATATTAATACTGTTGAACCTCCCAAAATTGATTCTTTTAAACTGATAAGGCCACGCAAAGTTAATTTTTCGTTTTGCGGAACATGGAAAAAATTGAGTCAGATTTTTTTTTTAATCTATTGTAAATTAATAGACTCATGTTCATATCTAAGCCCACACAAAGTTGATTTTTCTTTTTGCATAGTATTCAGCGCTGAGATTTTTTTTATCGGTCTATCGGAAAATTCCGGATATCAAGGTCTCTGTTGGGTACACCAGATAAATTGATAGATAATTACATAAATAGCAAAAATAGAATACAGCCAACCCCCTCTATAGTCACCTTCTCTATAGTCACAAAATTAGTATAATTATAAATTTATTTTTACCAAATATTTCTAGCTATATAAAAAATACCTCTATATTAGTCACACCTCTTTATAATCACAGTTTTTTGTATCCCAAAGGTGTGACTATAGAGAGGTTTGACTGTATTGGCATAATTGGGACTTTAAAAAAAATAATAATAATTTTTTTTGAAAAAATGGGTCGCATATCAGCCTATTTACAAAATTTGAATAACTTTTGATCTACCAATCAGTTTTAAATGATTTTACTATCAAAATGTTCGTCTTGATGAGACGATACTAACGAGCCCAAAATCGTTAAAATTGATTTACGGGATCTTGTAATTCAATTTTAACGATTTTGGGCTCGTTAGGATTGTCTCATCGAGACGAATATTTTGGTAGTAAAATCATCTAAAACTGATTAGTAGATCAGAAGCTATTCAAAATTTTGTAAATTGGCTAATATGGGCGAGTTATGCAAAACGAAAATTAACTTTGCGTGGCCTAATCTGTTAAATCTGTTAAAAATTAATTTACCAAGTATGTTATTGCGGGTCACTTTACCGACAACTCATTTAGCCGACATCACTCCAGGTGAAATTTAGTAAAAATATATACCTGTAACCTATCAAATGCTAAACCCTAACCCTATGAATGAACATTCGGTGAAATGACTGTCGGTGAATTGATCGGAACCCTGTTTTTGCTATATAAATCTAATTATTTATAATGTATTCAAATCTGATAACCTCCCAATACTGATATAAAACTTGTCAACCATGCATATCGATTTTGGAAGTTTCGACAGTACATTATAATTACTTCATATTCTTATTCTAGCACTAATATTGTTATATGTCTTTATTCGTTTTGCAAGTTTACAACTCAAATGCAAATAGAAAGTGATAAAATTAAAATATACGGAATAACACAATCTACAGCCACTGGTGAATATATGGTAGTATTTGTAAGTGCTATTAATAAAGATGATGATGAGTTTGATTCTAAAAGGCACGATTGGCATGGAAAATGTAAAAATTGTAATCGATTTAATACTTCAAAAAATTGGTGTCAGTCATGTGATCCTTATAGAATAACTCGGGAATGGACAAGTGGTAATAAAGACATTGATGATTGTATTAAAGAGTTCCAACTTAGTGCCACTGAACATAATAAAGCAATTGAATGGATTCCGTTTGAAAAATTAAGTGTCATAAAAGAGATTGGTAAGGGAGGATTTGGTACTGTATTTTTAGCCAATTGGAAACCACAATCTATGAAGGTTGCACTCAAGACTTTACCTGGATCAAAAAAAAATTCTAATGATTTTCTAAAAGAAGTAAGATAAGGTTATAATTTACATATTTGTTTATTGCGTATAGTATCTCTAATATCATAAAATTATTTTTTATTAGTTTAGAAGTCATATGCATTGTAGATTAAGTGGTAGCAGGCTTGTAGTATATGGATTAACTCAAAATACAGAAACGGAAGAATATATGATGGTATTTCAATATGCTAATAAAGGAGATCTTCATAATTATTTAAAATTGAATTTTGAAGAACTTACTTGGGAAGATAAATTATCATTATTAATTGATATTTCAAAGGATTTAACTAAAATTCACAAAGCAGAATACATTCACTGTGATCTTCACTGCGGTAATATTTTGCATCATAGGGAGGAATCATGGCTTGGCTCGTTAAAATCCTATATTTCAGATTTAGGACTATCAAGAAAGAATGAAGAATACATTTTAAAAAATGGAACTTATGGGGTTATGCCTTATATGGCGCCTGAAGTTTTATTAGGTCAGAAATATACACCTGCTGCCGATATATATAGTTTTGGTGTCATCATGACGGAGATGACTACAGGAATACGTCCATTTTATGGACGTTCATTTGATATCGAACTTGCATTGGAAATTTGCAATGGAAAGAGACCAGGCTTTGCTTTAGGAACACCTAGCTGCTATATTGAATTGGCAAACTTATGCATGGATTCAGACACGCAAAAACGACCTACTGCTGAAACAATTCATAATGAGCTTTCTGAATGGCATAGTTTTGTGAATCTACCTGATGAATCTAATGAATTTGATGAATTTGACGAACTTGATGAATCTGACGAGCTTGATGAATCTAATGAAATTGATGAATCCGACAAACTTAATGAATCTAATAAGCCGGATGAATTTGATGAGCCTGATAAATCTAATGAAAAATTACAAATAATGAGTGAATTTATGGCAGCTGATATGAGAATCCCAGAGCTTTCAATAATTTTAAAAGAATATCCTGATATTGTATATCGATATGCGAGCAAACTTATTAATACGTATGAAATTGCTCAACAATATAAAGAAAGAAATAACCTACTTGACATATATGGTATTGATGATTATGCATACTACAATATCGCTTCTATTATATTATTTAATGTAATATCTATTCATATAATGTAGGTTCCATTCCTATGGTTAATGTTGAAATTCCATTTAACGTAACAATAAGTCACGAATCGAAAAGACGGAAAATTGGCCAGGAATCATATACTACATGCAATTAGGTGCGATATTGGAAGGTACAATATATGGCCCCATTTGGTGCTTAATCATAACCATTCAACGTAGCTATAATACAATTTCAAGTTCATTATTCCTATATTAAATGAGTTCAACTGACGTTCGTTTCAGGAATAAATTGATAAACTTGGCCTATTGAGTGAATGGATTAAAAGGGGTTTCGTAGAATTAAATTTAAAAATTAAAAAAAAAGTAAATGTTTGAAGAAATAAAAGAATTTTATGAGGGTTGGGTCCCATAGCATAGTGTATACGCTCCAAACCCACCACAGACAAGGTTAATGAAAATACTCTGTAATCTAACTAGAAGTAAATAATCGAATGCGATGCTCTGTGGGTACAAGTCCAGGTGAATACGAATTTAAATCAGAAATTCCTGAAAAGAGATCAACTTATGAAGTGCAGACACCATACGTGGTGAGTGAAGCGGTGAATACAAGATCTGTGGTAAAGGATTGTCCTTACCAAATTGAAATACCTCTGGTATAAAAAAAATTCCAAACAAGTGTAGAAGTGGAAATCTACCTTCGTTTTAATGGAGTTTATCTCACGGCCAAAGATCTACTAGATATTAATTTTAGTATTATAGAAAAAACATTAAAAATCAAAGATTTTTAAATAGAAAGCCCACATAGGTGTTCCAGGTATAACATTAGCAGGTAACCTGCAGGTGAAAGTTTTAAATAGACAATGACTAAAATTGTATATGTGGTTTATTGTAGCCTCATTAATATGCAAAATATAATATCTTTTTTGTGATATAATTTAATAATTTACAAAATCTAAGGTTTTTCTATAAACTGAAAAAATGATTTTTATATTTTAATGACAAAAGTTTTATAAATAAAATTTATTATATGTTAGAAACATTATTTTTAATTAATAAAATAAAGCTTATTATATAAATGCTAATATTTTTTAACTTTATCTACCAAAATTGATATTTAACAAACTACTTTGCAATAATCAAAAACTATATAGGCTAATTTGTAAAATTAACCAAAAACTTTTGTCTAATGGGTTGATCTTTAGTATAGGTGGGCATATATAATTATTATACAATTATAATATATATAAATTAACTATTTTGAACTAATTTAGGTAATTTAATAAATTATTAGGGTTAGAGTTAAGGTTAAAATTTAAATTAGCTCAAATTAGTTAGGTTTTATATACTATAATCTTGTAATAATTTATATATACCCATCTATACTAAAGAAGATTCCAAAATCTAATTTAAAAGCCAGGATTATTCAAATTTTATATAATTTTAATAAAAATTTTAAAGTTATTTTAAAAATAGCTTTATTATAAATAACTTTTAATCTACTAGATTGTTTTGAATGATTTAATCAACAAATATTTGTTTTTATAAGATGATTTTAATAAATATAAAATTATTAATGTATAATTACAGAATTTACAAATTATTAAAAAAATTTTTAATAGAGTAAGGTTTAAACTTAGTTTTTATTAAATAATTATATATTATATTGTTTAAATAAATTATATAAATTATTACAGAGACCTACAGCTAAGATTTATTTTTTTTTAGCCCAAGCTCTACTAGAATAGGCTATCTAGCTTCTACTAGATTTAGTTTATCTATATATGATGTAGTTATATTGATTATGAGAAGATTTTTGCCTATTTATAATAATTGTTATATTAATATAGAAAAGATAGGATGGAGATGTAATAGTATTAATATCTGTTAGAAGTATAAGAAGTTTATAAAATAGATAGGCAAACTCTGCAAACTTCACAATTTTGCTATTAAAAATTAATAATTGTGATAGATTAAAATAAAATTTAACTAAAACAATTTTTTATTTTTTTAAAAAAATAAATTTTTTAGAGGCTATTTTTTGAAGTTATTCTAGTATTAGGAGTAGAGTTTAAAGTTAAAATTATTAATAAACAAGTATATATAAGTTTTATAAGCTCTAAAGAATAGCAAAAGAGGGTTTTTATTTTATTTTAATCAGATTTTAATTTTTTTATAGTTAAGATTAGCTTTTTAACTTTATTAGAAATATAGAATTATATAATGCTTTTTTCAAAGGGCTCCAAACAAGTATATTTTGACAAAAATATATATAGACATATGTTTAACTTTAGTCATTTCCTATTTAAGATTTCTACTATATTTATTTCAATCTATAGTTATTCTCTATATACTATATCTAATATCCACCTGTAAATCTCTTATTTAAACCTTCTAATCAGAGTTTTTTATACTAATCTAATTTAATTTCTTTAGAATCATAAGATATATTAGTCATTTTACAGCTCAAGATCATTGTAAAATGCCTATAGAACTATTAACATAGTTAACTGATTTATTCTCAAATATATCACCTACTAGAATAGTTTAGTACTTACTATTATTGTTATATTTAGTTTTTTTAGTAATTTATACCAAGTTCAAGAACAAATACTTGTGGGCTGAAGCTACTACTATTACCTACTTAGTCTTTGTAGAGTTTATTTAAATACTAGTATCTACTCTTTAAGACAACCTAATATTTTTCTTTTAGTACTCTAGCTATTTATCAATTAAAATAGTTTAGAAGATATTTCATTTTTATATTATCTGCTGATCTTTTTACTCTGGTTAATGCTTCAGCAGCATAGTTGATAAAACAACTTGCCAAATACTCTTGCTTTATCTGATTAACTAACCTTAAATGATATCAATTCCAGTAGTTACTCTTAAAAGTTTGTATTATCTTTCTACTTAAAACTTGATAAACAGGCATTTATCTTTTTAGTTTCTTAAATTTATATAGTTATAAAGACTTAATTATATTTGCTTTTTTTTTTTTTAATATTAAGGTGAGGCCTTGCTCGTATCTTTATTAATAATTTTTGAAATAACAACAATGTGAATTACTACAGAAGAGCAG